GAAGATAAAGGAAATATTGAAAGGAAGACATTTTGATGACATTCAGGACATCAAGGGTAATACGACCACAGCTCTGATGGCCGTTACAGAAAAAGAGTTCCAAAATTGCTTTGAAGGGTGAACTGGGTGCTGGCATCGATGCATATCTTCCCAAGAGGAGTACTTCGAAGGTGACCATAGTGATATTCAGCAATGAGGTATGTAGCACTTTTTCTAGGATGAGTTTGCAAGCTTAATTGTCTGACCTTATAATAATTTAATATTATAATATTAGATTAGATTATTATATGTAATATTAGTTCTTACTTTATAGACCTTAAAACTGAAGCAAGACATCTGGTAACTTGCCTGAAGTCCCATCATAGACATAAGTAGAAGATTAAGGACATAAATTAAGCATCCTGACTCAGAACCCATGCTCTTTAATCCCTGTGCTATGCTGATTCAGAGACCTCTGAATAACACTGTTGTTATATATTTTTTTATTTTATAGATGAAGAAACTAAAATACTAAGAGGTTGCGTAATTTATTACCCAGCGTCACTGAGCCAGTAAGTAGCAGAGCTGGGATTTAATTCCAGGCATCAGGGTCAAAGCACATAACACTAAACTCTACCCAGTCTCCCCAGTACTTGCGTGAAGAAGGGTTTAAGACTGTCGGGGAAGTTCTGCATCAGATTGCTAGCATGTAGAGAAATACTAACAGGAAGGAGAAAGTTACTCATGTTCAGACTGTCTTGGCTACCTCAACAGCCAGGTAAGACAACCAGGGTCCTATGAAAGGTTCTTTCTACTAGGCCCACCCTCTCAGGAATCTCCACAGGTTTTAACTTCCGTCTTCCTTCATGAACCTGCCAGGTCATCTGTCAGACTCCTGCTGCCAAATTATTGCTATGTCCCAGGTTTTGGCCTTGCTGCCAGACCCCTTTTGACATGATGCTTGACTCACTGTTGATCTGGCTCTCAAATGGCATTCCCATTTTGTTCTTCACCCCATGACCACAGGCCAGCCTACCAACTCCAGGGTCGAGTTCCAGTTGTCCTTCACCACCAGCACCACCACCACCACTGCCACCACCTCCACTACCACCTCTATCACATCACTTCCAAACTTGACTCCAGATCCCCATCCCAGGTCATAGATCCCACTATGGACACGTCATTCTCAGAGACAAACCAGAAGTGTAGAAAAGGAGTATAATTTAAAAGGCGTGTCTTGTTGGAGAGTTGCACAGAAAACCCACAGCAGAATAAAGATCAGAAATGCATTGATCAGTTGTAAGGCAAACCAATTAAATAAGGATTTCCAAGTGAATCCCAAATATAGAAAGGCACTTTAGCATTCTAGGGCCAGCTGAGTGGTGCATTGGTTAAGAGCTAGCTTAGGATGCCAGCTCTGAGCAGCAGGGCCCTGGTTGGGACCCCACATGAGGGCCAGTGACGCTGCGCCCTTTACAGCTAAGATGGTGAACAACAGCTCGACCTGGAGCTGGGTTGCCATGAGTCACCTACGACGGCGTAGGCTGCAGTGGGCAGCCGTAAGCTACCATGAGTGGCCAGCAGCCAGTATGAACTGCCATAAGCCACCATGAGCGGCCGTCCAATGGCCGGCAACCAATCTGCGTCAGCCAGAAAGAGCACAATGATAATACCAACATGGGCCAGTGAAGCGACGTCCTCCACAACTAGACTAAAGAACAAAAGGACAGCAACTTGGCTGTTCCTCTTCCTCAATTCCCCAATGCTGTTCCCCTCCCCCAGTTCCCCAATAAAATAAAATTTAAAAACAAGAAAGTGGGTCTAGAAACAGATTCACAAATTCAGCTCTTGGCTCTACCTCTACCACTTATGAGATGTGTGACTTTAGCAGTTCCTTACTCTGTGCTTAATTTTTTCCACCTAAAGAATGGGGGATAGTAGTAGTTTCTATCTCATAGAGTTGTTGCAAAGTTAAGTGAATTAGTATACACAGAAGCTTGGAACAATGCCTGGCATGTAGTAAGCACTATATAATTGTAAATTGCAGTATTGTTGGTTCTTCACCAAAGGTCATGTACTTCATCGCACTAAAGACAGATTCTTGGGAGAATTAAGCTGTGCTGGACAAATGTATTCTATAACCAGGGTTGTCTTCTAAGGGTGTGCACGTTATTGTTTTGTGTAATTTGGTTTTCTTTGTTTTTTTTGTTTTTGTTTTTTATTGTTAGTTTCAGGTGTACAGAACAATGCAATAGTTACCCTTTTCACCCTCACAAAGTAACAACCCCCCTCCCCCCATGTATTCCCCTCCCACCCCCAATATCATGCTTATCTATTACAATTCCATTGANCATGCAAAAACTATGGGATTCCCTACAGAAAAAAAGAAAAAGATAATCTAAACATTTCATTTCATAGTCACTTCTTACTCCAGAGAGAAACATGGGGGGGGGGGGGGGGGGAGGCATTTGAAAGAGAATGGAAACTAAAATTCTGAACAAAGGAAAGTTAAAATGAAAAAAAAATGAGAATAAGGAAAAAGAGCAAGTGGAATATTTTCAAAATCTCTAAGAAAGAGCAGAAACACGCCATTTCCCATCACATTCTCTTTAAAAATGGAAAGGGGCATTAGTCCAGTCCCCGGAAGGACGGTGTGAAGCCCATCGTGTCAGAAGGAAACAAGTCACCAAGTCAGGTGTAGAGAATGCTAAGAAATGGGCTCAACCCCACTGGAGCGTTTCCTCCCCTCACTATGCCTCCATCTCCCTACCATGGACAAGCCCTACCTCATCACAACGCTCAGGTTGAGAACCAGCCTTCCAGCCTTCCTTCTCACACGGCTCTCCCAGCAAACTGCAAGGCAAACACTGAAAGAATACGATACCTGTGAATGCGGTATTAAAATTAAAATAGACCTAATTGCGGTAACGATACATGCGAGAGAAAATCCAAGCTGTAACCTGGTACACAGAACTCTTCCTTAAGAGACAGGCGTGGTGACGAGCGTCTTCTTGAAAAATCAAAATAAAAAGTTGCTTTTACACCGTGCTTAAGAGATCACGAATAAAACTCTGCCTTTGAGATACTTAATTCCTAGATTTTGCGCCTTCTGTTTTCCAGCACAGTCCTCCGCCCACCTCTTCGCATTCATCTGTGCTTAGCCCATAATGGGCCACTGACCACCTTGGGCACTGAGAACAGTAGAGCTAGGAAAGCACCCCGTTTGCAATAAGTTTTCATAAAAAGCAGCTCTAATTATGAGCACCTGCATCAGGAAGGTTACGGACCTCGAAGCAACACAACAGCTACTTCTTGCTTTTTACTGCCAATTCGCTAGTGTGAACGGGAGGTGGAAGGAGAGGCAGAAGGGCCGTCCTGAAAGACTCAGCGATCAGGCTACCTATATCCCCAAATTCACCATGCAAGCCCAGAGAGGCATTCTCAAGAAGCCATTTCCAGGGAAGCTGGATTCAAAATGAAATGTATCAGATCAAGTCTCCTATTAGTCTCTGACAGCCAGGCCCCGGCTTGGGGAGGAGGGGAAGTTCGTGGTGAGAGTTTACCTTAGAAGGCGGCAGAGAACAGACAGGCCTTTCAGAACCACCCAGGGCTCTGCCCCGAGGCCCGAGGCGGCGCGGAGGGGCTGGCACAGCGCTCGGCCGCAAGCCCCGCGGCGCCACAGGTTCCCCGGCGCGTAGCCGGGCCGGACTCCCACAGGTGGGCGGCGCGCCGGGGCGAGAGGAGGGGGCGGTGGGGTTGGCCGGAGACGCGGGGGAAGGGGTGGGTTTGCCTGAGGGGAGCAGGGCGAGAGGGGAGCTCGGCGTTGTCAGCTGCCTGGTTCTCACTCAGCTGGATGCTTACGGCTTTCCCCCAACGCAGGAGAAGCCGGGCGGAGAGAGCAGCCGCGCGCACCTTCCACCCTCCTCCCAGGGAGCCTCGGCCTTCTCCCCGGGGCGCGGTTAAGCCGCACGGCTGCGGGCCGCCGACTGCATGCGCCCCGGCACGTAGGAGCCTGCACAACCACACGCAGGCGGGGGAAGGGCGCCCGGGGGCCTTAGAGACCCGGCCCCTCTCCGGTCGTTTGTCTCCCCGGCCTAACAGGATCCCGCTTTGGCTCACCCTGGCCCCTCGCCCCCCGCATCCCTCTTACCCGTATTGGCCTTGATGTTCTCCCGTAAGAAGTGGCCGCTGGAGAGATGCTGGAGGCCAAAGTTCTGGGCGATCCTCTGGCACACGGTGCCTTTGCCCGAGCCGGGCGGCCCGAGGATGACCGCGCGCAGGAGTTTGGAAGCCATTGCCTTCGCGAGGAGTGGGGCGGCCAAGCGCGCAACCTGGACAACGGCCTCCGACAAGCCCCGGGAACTTTGTTTCTTCTGCCCCTGCCTCTGACACCCTCCGCTCGCTCGGGCACTCGCTAGCCGCCCCTGCAGGGGAAGGAGAGACTTTGGAGACAGCCCCTCCCCTCAGCCCCGCAGCTGGGCGGCTGGAAGGCGGAGTAAGACGCCACGCTACACCTCCCCGCCCTCCTCGCCCCCATGCCGCTCGCCGGGAGAAGTTCCGCGCCCCCGCCCCTGGCGTGGTCAGCCTTTGCAGCTCAGAGGTCGGCCTGGTCAGTCCCACCTCGATCCTGCCCTCTATCTTGCTCCCCATGCCGCGTCTGAGGAGGGGTCCGGGCGCCCGACATTCCCACGCCAGTCCCCACCAAAAGGGGAAGCCAGGATCCGCGGTGACTCCAAGCGCACCAGCCGTCGCCCCACGCACCGGGCGGCCTGGGGGCAGAGCCCCTACCCGAGTCCTCACACGTAGGCAACGTTTAGTCGGCGCCTCGACCCCTCCCTGGTGGCTGTCACATCCCCGGGAATCGCAGCGACCGCCGCCCGCCGCCCGCGCGGACAGCCCAGCGCCCACCTCCGCGGAGGACTGACTGATGCGCTCCCCCGCTGCGAGGAGCCGGAGTCCGGCGCTTCCCCACCCAAAGCAGTCACGTAAACACACACCTCGGCTGGGACGCGGCTCCGGGATAGAATTCCAGCCCAGATCCCGCTGGGCGGCGCCGCCTCCGCCCGCCCCCACTCCCGGCCGGCCCGGCCGCGCGGGATTCGCGCCTTACGTAAGCCCGGGAGAGCAGCTCCGCGCGAGGCGCCGGCGGGCGCCCGCTCCCCTGCCCGCCCCCCTGCTCCCGCCCCGCTTTCCGGCGCCCACGCGGTCCCCGAGACCCTGCCGGGGCGAAGGGAAATGGAGAAGACACAAGGGTCAGAAACCTGCCCTTTTTTGTGGCCGCCTAGGGACCCGATCTGTTAGGGGAAGGAAAAACATAACGTGTTGCGCGCCTACTGTGCGTCAAGTTCGGGGATAGGTGATTTCCTTAAGCAACGGGAGTCCCTCGTAGGTATGTATATTCACAGATGGGGAAAGTATGCCTGGAGTATGGCCATTCATTTATTGCTTCATCCATTCAGCAAACGTTTATTGAGCGCCTACTATATGCTAGACTCTGTTTTAGGCGCTTGGTATATAGCTGTGAACCAGAGATGGAATCCTGCCCTCGTGGAAGTCACATTCCAGCGGGAGTTTTGAACCGCATCTGCCTGACTCCAAAGCCCAGGCTCGTTGGGGAAGAAAGAAGGAGCGGATGATCACTCACCTGCTCTCAAGATCTTATATCCAACTGATTCCAGGACGTCAGGGCCCAGCTGTCAGCAATACACTTAAAACTCATGAAGTCCAATTGGTGCTATCTCCTTCGTTCCCTCCCGTACATATCCCAATTCATATGATCTTAAATCTGTTTCAGCTCCACACACAGCCTTCATTTCCCACTGAGACCAATGTGGTAACCATCCGCCCATAAGTCTCTGGCTTCTGCCAGTTCATCCTCCATGCAGCTGCCGGAGATATTGCTAAAATGTAAATCAATTTCCATTATTTCCCCACCTCAGGTATTATTGTCCCTTCTGAATAAAGTAAAAGAAATCTTCAGCAGGGGAACACAGCCTTCTCCATACCTTTGCATTCCACCCGCTCCCCTTCTCTACGATTGGGAAATCCATTGCAGGGTTCTGAGTGCCACCACCCATGGCTCTCTGATGAGGACGGACACTGTGGAGAGGAGCCTCCTCTAGATTCCTGGCACACAGCCCTTGTCCTACACACACACACACACACACACACACACACACACACACACACACACNCAATGATAATACCAACATGGGCCAGTGAAGCGACATCCTCCACAACTAGACTGAAGAACAAAAGGACAGCAACTTGTCTGTTCCCCTCCCCCAATTCCCTAATAAAATCTTTTTAAAAAAAAGTTTGCCTGAACACCTGATGACATCATCAGAGACATTTCAAACTCTAAAAGAAGCTATGATCTTGACATCCAGAAATCTTCTTGAGTAACAGTCCCCTTGGCTCAAAAACTGATTGACAATTTGTTCCAATCATTAACCTTTGTTTTGCTTTTGTTTCCTTGGAGGTGCCTGTTATTAATTACCTGATTGTTTGCACAATATAGGCCTAACTTTAACAGCCCACCTGCAAGAACACCTCCTGAAATGAGACACAGTTTAACTGAAGTAACCTATTCTCAAGACTGAGGCTGGTTTAATAAGATATGGAACAATCTATCATTACTTCTGGAATGTGAAACTTCTTGAAGTTTCAAAGGCAGGACTGAAGGGGAACAGAGTTTGCCACCCCAAATATGCCTATTTGGGATGCTGTTTATTTTAGGCTGATTAATTTGAAGTAACAGCAGACCTGGAAGAAACTCTGAAAACCAAGTAGAAGTTACCCTTTGTAAAAGGACATTTATATTTGTAAGGGAAATCTCCATTTGTACCAGGCCTGCCTTCACTATCAATGCAGAAGGTCTGGACTTAAATCTGCATAACAAATGTATCCTTGTTTATTGTGCTTTTCCTTGTAACCTCCCATAACTGACTCTCCACCCTCAACACCTTCTTTTGTCTTTAGCTGAAGATGGTATTTATTTATTTTTAAGATTTTATTGGGGAATTGGGTGAGGGGAACAGCATTGGGTAATCAGGGAAGGGGAACAGACAAGTTGCTGTCCTTTTGCTCTTCAGTCTAGTTGCGGAGGATGTCGCTTCCCTGACCCATGTGAAGATGGTATTTAAGGTGTTGATTTCCGCCATATTGGCCTGTTGCTGTTTGCCTGAGTCTCTCCCATGTATACAGGAGGTATACATACATGTTACTAAACTTTTCATTTGTTTTTCTCCTGGTAATCTGTCTCATGTCAATTTGATTACTAGATTAGGCCAGCCATAAACATCTTAAAGGTGTTAAAAAGAAAACCAGAAGCCCAAAATGGCATCACTAGCGCTAAAAGCCCATGATAGCAAACCTAGACTGAATACCTGATCTAACTGCAGCTTCAGCCCCTCCTGGAAACATAATCTTCATCAACCAGTCTAGATTTTTCTAATCAACAGCAATGAGGTAATCTCTCATGTGAGCCCTCGCTATCTCCATAGAAAGAAGAGGCAATCTCAGTTATAAAAATAGTCACAGGGATGTAAAGCACAGCATAGAGAATATAGTCAATTATAGTGTAATAACTATGTATGGTGTCAGATGGGTACCAGACTTATCAAGTGATCAGCTCGTGAGGTTATATAAATGTTTAATCACTATTTTGTACACCTGAAACTAATATTGTATGCCAATTATAATTGAAAAATAAATTTTGAAAAACCATTCTTTTTGTAATCAAGACCAATATAGTAATAAAGAGAGGCAATCTGCATGGTAAAAACTCTTTCAGTTCTCTTCCCACCCACCCAAGGTGTCCAGGCCCCACATAATCTTTTTATTGTTGTTAATAGCTCCCTTGCCCCACCCTTCTTCCTGTAAAAATCTTGCATTTTGTACAACTCCTCAGCTCACCCTTCTAATTTCTAGATGAAATGCTACCCAATTCATGAGTTGCTTAATAAAGCCAATTAGATGTTCAAATTTACTTGGTTGAATTTTGTTTTTTAACAAAGGATAAAGGAAAATTTCCCTCCCCAAAAGTAGTACCTACAAACTTTTATCATAAATCAGAGCTAATTAAACAGAATGGATTTGGTCACTGGAGGCTGTTTGACTCGTCTGGGGAAGATGTAGATAGAATTCCTGACCCATGCTTTCAACCCAAGACTAGTTGAACTTCTTTTATGTATTAGTTCGTTTGCCAGATCCCTGTCCTTTAAGTCTCTCAGTGGAAACTGGAACACTGTGAAGGCAGAAGGGACAAGGGTCACAGGATCATCTTAAAGATGGCTACAGCCCCCAGCACCTAGAACACTGTCTGACACATGCCAGGTACTCAGTAAATATCTATTGGATGAATCAGACAGACATTTGCTGCACTATGTTAAAACTGTATGTGACAACCACAACAGAACTAACAAGCGATGTGAAGAGGAAAGAGACGAATTGGGCTGGGGCAGGTGAGGGAAGGCTTCCCAGAAGCCATGCGTAGCCCATTCCTGGAGAAGCAGCTTTTCACCAGGCAGCGGCTGCAGGAAAGCCATGTGAACAGAAGTGTGCCCTAATGGAGGCTGCAGCAGATGGCCTGAGCTACTTTCCAATTCAAATTCCTACCAAGGTTTTATTTCCTGGGGTTTTGTTGTGCTTCATCATCTCCTTCAAACCTTCAAAAGGGGTACATACACAGGGGCTGTTGTATCTTCTCCACCAGGAAATTAGCTAAAAGCAAAACAGCAGGTAACAGAAAAATAAATACTGTGGAATGTTTTCTTATTTACAAGGCAGTGAGCCTATAAGACTCTTAGACTTTCTGAGAGAGAAAAATAATCCGAGAACACCCTCCAAGTCCACTACAAACAAGCCACTTTAAAAACAAACTGCTGTCCTTTATTTTTCCTCTTCTTTCCTGGATTAACAGTTTTTAAGTGGGTCCATGCAAAAACTATGGGATTCCCTACAGAAAAAAAGAAAAAGATAATCTAAACATTTCATTTCATAGTCACTTCTTACTCCAGAGAGAAACATGGTGGGGGGGGGGGGCGGCATTTGAAAGAGAATGGAAACTAAAATTCTGAACAAAGGAAAGTTAAAATGAAAAAAAAATGAGAATAAGGAAAAAGAGCAAGTGGA